TATTTGGCACCTTTTGCATTACCTAAAAATATTCATGCAGTTAACGTCTTCCCCATTTTAACGTATCTAAGAACAAGGAAAAATTAAATCGTGATTCCATGAATCCATAATTTTCTCCATATATTTTTGGTCACAACCCCGTTCTAGATGTCACAATAAGTCACAACCACCATTTTGCGCGACACAATAAGAATGCGTTTGGAATTTATAAATGTATGTTTGTATCTTTACAATTTTGAGATTGTATGCATGTGTTGTTCCTTGTGAACAACATGTGATTCAGATTAAAAGTTATATGTCACTAACGATATTTAAGCACACAAAGTTAATATATTATTAGTGATTTCACACAAAGAAATTATTGTACCATTTATATTGTTTACAAAATCATGTGAGTCGTATGGGACATGTGAATTGCGGTCATTTATATTCAGGTGACAACATTAAATGACATGCAAAATTGTGACTTATGATATGTGTGAACAATAATTGTGACCTCTCTTTTATAGTTTATGCTTGTGACTTCTCCATTTTTATTTATCCGCGTGACCTCCACAACCTCTTACGGTGAAGAAGGAGAAGAACGGTAAATAATGTTGAAAACGGTAAAAATCTAATTTTGTATAATTTTGCTCCTATTTAAATTCCATTTTTTTTTGTTAAGAATGTATTTTTGAATAGTAAATTGATAGAGAATGCGTGGTTAAAAAATTGAAAAAAGTTTTAGATTTGTGTGTAATATTATTTTATTGAAAAATATATGGTTGAAAAGAAGATAGAGAAAAATTTTAATAACATGATGAAACAAGGGCTGAATTTCAAAACTTATGAACAGATAAACATTATCACGATCAAGGAGATTGTGAACAAAACAAAAATATATTTAGAGTGTTTGATAGGTATTAAAATTAGATTTTTAGTAGATTGTGATGCAAGTTTTTGAAATGTGTGGTTGAAAAGTTGTGGGATCCATAAAAGATGTGATTTATATTGATTGTTTGACTTTGACTTGAACTAAAATCAGATTTTAATCCAAACCAAACAGGAGCTTAA